TTGGTGGTAAAGACGTAGTATATCTTTATAAAAATAGGAAGACTAAGATGGACAGGACATCTGCCAAGATCACAGCAGAACAACCCTCCTAGAAGAATCCTTATGTCACAACCTGTTGGAAGTAGGGGTAGGCCAAAACTCACATGGAAGAATGGTGTAGATGAGGATGGTAGAAAAATAGGCGCAACAAACAGTTGCCAATGGATAGAACTGACTGGCGTAATAGACTTGGGAAGGTCGAGGCTCTTTTATAGGACTGTAGCACCAATGATGATGATGAAACGACAGCTTTACGTGCCCTACGAAGCACGGTGACGGCTCAGTTAAATTAGAAATTGAAACACTTCTGGTGTTTGTGTCAGGATCAAACCAGAGCCGTCGGGCTTGCTAAGCCAGTACGTAGCCACTGATTTACGGTTGTTACCAGTGTACCGGTTAGTTTTATTCATATTTTTTGAGAATACATTAATTTCTTATGAGTTTCACATAATCATTACTTCAAAATTGTGTCTGCCGCAACATTAGTAACAAACAATTCCAGACTACAGTATGTTGCAAAACTTGACAAATTTCAATTTTCAGCCTAAAATCAGTTTATCTCTATCATTTTTTATAAATTATTGGGGACCTGGTAGCTCCTTATTGAAATTTTATTTTTTTATGCTATGTGCAATAACTCTTAAAACTTGTTATATGTTCGTCGTTCTGATTATGACAGTGTCATTTTTTGTCCATACATATGTGCAACAATTGTTGCTGTAAGAAAGAACCCTATTGAATTTGGGGTCAATAGATCCGAGATAGAGATTAGATTTGGGGTCAAATCTAAAACTTCCATTGACTTGAACATTAGGTAATAAGGAAATTTGGCCACCTGGTATAAACATTAAATGGTTTAAAGAATCTTCATATTTCGAACCAACGCCTTTATCTGAGTCAAATATGAGTACGAAGAATATCAGAAGCCCCGTTAGCTTGGAAAATCCAATTACCATTTCAAGCAACACCAAAAATGAAGTGGAAAACACAAAAATACTCACAGACAAGCAGGCCATCGAAATTTACAAATCTAAGAAACCTTTCCATTCCCATATTAATTTCATTTAGAAAGATACGTTGGAACCATCGGTAAATCTGAATCCTTTGACCCCACTAAGAGTTAGATTAACCAATAACTCGAACAGTCGATATCTTCTAGCAAGATTAACGGAAACGAATATCTTAAAAGCCATTAAGCTACATATTGCTTTTATACACGACCAACCTGTTTCAGTATGTTACGAAGGATTTACCAACACCAGCGTTAAACTCTTTTTGGCTTCCGAAAGACTTCCCACTAAGACTGAAGATCTACGAAAATTCTTCTAGAATTTAACGATGCCTATGAAATTGGTCCAACTGATGTGGAAGCTGAGCTTACTACTTTTAGGCCCTTTTTCACTTCGGAAAGAATAATTCACCTAAAAAAATCAAGCGAATGTCACCGAAATTACTATTCCCTTCTCTCTAAATATAGTGTCTATTTTCTTCTGAATGAATGGATTTTGATGATTTTTTTCTTATGTTATAGGTTTATTTCTAGCAAATCACTGTATTAATGCTTTCTAAAAAATATTAATGTTTTACCCGTATACGGGGTGTAACAATAAAGTTATGTTTTTTCGTTGTAATTTGCAACACCCTGTGGAATTTATTAAACAGAAAGGCTACATCTTATTAATATTTTAAGATAGACTAATCCTTTCTTAATATTTTCATAAAAAAATTATCATGATATTCCTATTATTAAAAATTTTACAGAATTTTAAATGTAACAAGTTTTTATTAACATTTAAAGCAAAGAAAACATTACTTACATAAACTTTATTGACATTTAAAACAAATAAAGCCTAAGAAAACATAACCTAAATAATAATTCCCTCTCCCAAAATCACTTAATAACGAGTTTTTCCACCTCTACATCTAATTACGTCTTCACAACGACGAGGCATACTTAAAATCAAGCGGCCTATTTGGTCTTGATCAATTGCATTCCAAACTTCTCTTACCATAACTTCTATCTCATCAAGATAGACAGGTAGTGGTTGTCGACGATCAATAATATCCCACAAATTCTCTATGGGATTGAGATCAGGGCTGCAGAGTGGCCAGTTCATGGTTGGTATTCCAACTTCGTCCAAATATTCACGGACTACACGTGGTCGAGCGTTATCATGCATTAAAAGAAAATTATTTTCTATATAAGAAGCAAATGAAACTACATGGTTAGACAAAATGTCTGTAATATACCTTTCACTTGTTAAGGAACCTCTTCGTAAAGCAACAAGTTCCGTTCGCGCTGTAATAGATATTCCTCCCCAAACCATTGAAAAAAGTAATAGGTCATATATTGCACTGTGCATAGCGTTCTTATGGTTGTCGAATATCTCTCAAATGTCTATCTGAGCTATATAAGCTTTTTCGAAATATTAATAAGATGTTTGCTTTTAATAAATTCCACAGGGTATTGCAAAATAACCAACTTATCAAATATTTAAGACAGGGTTACAAACCGAAGACTAGCCTATGCAAAAATAAGAATGGGGAAATAATTAGCGATATGGACGAAATTAAGAGAACCTGGATGATGTATTTTAAGGAATTATTAAACGAAAGGGCACAAACACCACTACAACAGCGGCAGCAGCAGGTAGAACAGGAAGGTCAACAACAGGAGCTGTGGGAAGATGGAGAAGATAATGAATTGGCTAGACCTCCAACGCTAGAGGAGGTTCGAACAGCAATCCAAATAAGCCATAAAGCGCCGGGAATAGATAAGATACCGGCAGAACTGTTCAAGCAGGGAGGAACAAATTTGACAGAACAGATGTACCAGCTTATACAAGAAATATGGAGAGAAGAAAAAATCCCACAACAATGAAAGAAAAGTATAATCTGCCCTATTCATAAAAAAGGAGACAAACTGTTATGCCAGAATTATAGAGGCATCTCTTTACTTTGTTCGGGATACAAAATACTCACAAACATTCTTAATCGAAGACTTCAACCCCTCACTGAAAAAATTATCGGGGAATATCAAGCAGGGTTCAGGCAAAATAGATCTACTATTGACCAAATATTTACAGTTAAACAAATACTAGCCAAAGCATGGGAATATGACATAGACGTCTACAATCTTTTTGTAGATTTCAAGCAAGCCTATGATTCAATAGATAGAACAATACTACCTAATATATTACAAGAATTTGGCATACCATCAAAATTAATAAGACTAGTGCAAATGACAATGACAGAAACACATGTATGTATTCAAGGACAGATCACTGATGCGTTTATGACAACGCAAGGACTGAAACAAGGTGACGGACTGGCTCCAACACTTTTTAATCTTGTTCTTGAATATGTAATTAGACGGTTGACGGTGAGCAGAAATAACATACTTACAAACAAATCTACCCAATTAGCAGCATACGCAGATGACATAAACATAATGAATACATTCCTAAATACGTGAATAGATTCACGTATTTAGGAATGGATCTGGTCGAAAATAATGAAGAAGAACCGGAAATAAATAGAAGGCTTATGCTGGCAAACAAAGCCTATTTCGCGATGGGCCACATATTCAAATCGCGAGACGTACACCGGAAAACAAAACTCCGGGTATATAAAACAATAATCCGACCCATAGTAAGTTATGGGTGTGAAACATGGGTTATAACACAGAAATCTACCAATGCATTAGACGTGTTCGAAAGAAAAATATTGCGTAGAATACTGGGTCCAATAAAGGAAAATAACAACTGGCGAATTAGATATAATAACGAAATATACGAACAATACACTGAACCAACACTAGCACAATACACTAGACTGCAGAGATTACGATGGGCAGGGCATGTGGCCCGCATGCATGAGCACAGAATCCCCAGAAAATTACTAAACGCAAGAATGCAAGGAAAAAGACCTGTTGGAAGACCAAAAAAGAGATGGGAAGACGAGGCTGATGAGGATGCCAAAAATCTCCTAAAAACGCGTTCATGGAAAAGAACAGCAGTAAATAGAGATGTTTGGAGAGGTTTAATGAAGGAGGCCAAGGCCCAGCTTGGGCTGTAGTGCCATTGGATGGATGGATTGCAAAATAAGATGAAAAATCAAATTAATTTTTACACCCCATATGTGGGTGAAACATTGACATTTCCCAGAAAACATTAATTACTTAGAAATACATCTACAGTGCGAAAAAAAATAATTGAAATCCAATTAAGGATTCAACAGAAAATAGCTTACAAATTATGGTAGAGTTGAGGTAGTGCATTAATTTTGGAGAGTAGAAAATCCCATAATACTTTAAAAACATACTTTCCTTTTTTAATAATAAAGATATCGACATGATTTTTTTACGAAAATGTGGACAAAGAATGAGGCAATCTCAAAATATTAATAACATGTAGCATTTTTTTCTAATACAGTCTACAGGGTGTTGCAAAATTAGATAAAAAAAACAACTTTATTTTTACACCCCATATATAGGTAAAATGTTGACATTTCTCAAAAAACATTATTATAGTAATTAATTAGGAATATACCTATGTGAAAAATTAATCATCAAAATCTAATTGAGGGTCCAAAAGAAATATAGTTTCAAAATCATGGTCCATTTTAGGTAGTGCATTAATTTTGGAGAGTAGTATATATTAGTTTTTAATAGTTAAAAATTATCTTTTTTTCTGATTTAGAAAGTTAAGGTCCGCTTAATAAAAACTAAATGTTCTTCTCTAGATTTTTTGATACCCAATCTATTATAAACGCTCCCCATAACAATGTATCCAAAAACTATCAAATGCTTAAACCTAAATTATTCATTAAATCCTTAGTCTGGTCCTGTCAGGTTTTTTTGGAAATAAAATTTTAGCTTTACTTTTTGTTTACCATTTCACACAAACACCTCATATGAAAAAAGAATAATTGATCTAATAATAAACAAAAAAAAAGAGTTAACTGAAAAAGATTTTTATTATTTATTGCAACACATGTTGCTAATATATAAAGGTTAAAGGAATTTATGAGGCTGGGGCTGAGTTGGAGTTTGGTCCCCTCCTGCGTCCGAAAGATGCAACTACATTAACAAATCTTCTGTTATATTGGATACGCCTCTTAGCTCTACCAGTCTTCTTCTTTTTCTTTTCTTGTTTTTCTACTTTTGGAGTTTGTCCCTTTACTTTACCTAAAAATAAAATGATACATTATGTAAGTACTGTAAAAAACTATAATAAAATAAACAGATAAACAAATGGTTCTATGTTGATTGTAAGTACATGTGCAGATAAAAAATATAATTTATCACCAATATCATGCATTAAATGTATGAACAAATTAAATGATTCCTTATCATAAAATTCAAAAGGTTGTATATAGATACAGTAATACAAAATATTTATCAAGATGGATGAGATAAAAAAATTGTCTGCAATATTCTCTAGTACCTAAAGAATTAATAATCAAGTCACCTCAAACTATCCAGTAATACTGCAAATTTTGAAAAAGTTTTTGGTGGACACACACTTATTGTTTATATATTACCATAGCTTACCTGCACGAGCTAAAGATCCATGAACTTTACCACCAGGCAAACCAACAGTCAATTCAATGTCAACATTTTCAAAATCTGCTACCAAGCTTTCATCAGAAACCGGGACTCCAGCAGCATAAAGAATGATTTCGGATGCTTTAAGCGATTCCAAAGATGCAATACGGTCCTGGAATAACATGAAATTAGAGATCAAAATTATAAATAAGTTAGGATATTCAAACCTTAATTTCTCCTACAGTCTCATATCCTTGGCATTCAAGGAAATGAGTGGAGGTTCCTCTTAAACACAACTGCATGTTGAATAGATAGTGAAGTTCTACAATAAAAAGTGCGGTTAGAATAAGGTTATATTCATTTCAAAAATAAAATTATTGACATTTTGAATCGATTACTCGACGAGAAGATAATCATTTTTTCATATTGAAAATTTTTATAAAAAATATGCACTTCAAATGATTTAATATTAATTTAAAACATGAAATAATTTAACACCTCACCTCGCAGAACACGAAACTACAAAAAGAGGAAATTTTTAGCATTGCGCATTTACACTTGCCAAGGAAGCGGATGTGTATAAGTGACAGCATTTCTTCTTTTATTTCTGTGTTTGTCGGTTTTACAATTTATAAACAGGCATCTTATTATAAATATTATTATTTATCATAAATAATTTCCATTGTTTAAAAGTTTTTGGATTATTTATTTGAAACATAATTTTAATAAATATCAGTAAAATGATTGAATTAAAATTAGATTATGTTCTGAACAACCAGTTAGAATTCTGAATCACATTCGTAGAGCCTTTTTCTATATTAAACAAGAAGAATGTTTCCTTGTGACATTGACACTGATTGACATTTAAGTTTAAGTCAGTTTGAGTTGTGTTTGTGTATTTACTTTCTTGAAAGTTTTAACTATTACTTTATAATCGTCGTTTCTTGTGTTTTTATAACATTTAGAATACATTTCATTATATATACTGTTTTAGCACTTCATTGAAGTGCAATTTTCTTTTATAGAAATATTAGAATGACATGTTTGATGATGGATTATGAATTTAAAATGAAAACACAGAATGAGAGGGTAAAGGTAGAAGACTTGTTTGATTATGAGGGTTGCAAAGTTGGAAGAGGTACGTATGGACACGTTTATAAAGGCAGACGAAAGGATGGAAGTGATAGTAAAGATTACGCATTAAAACAAATAGAAGGTACAGGATTATCCATGTCTGCCTGTAGAGAAATAGCAGTAAGTTTTAACAACTATAAAATATATTTACTGTAACTCCAATTGTTTGTTTTAGTTATTACGAGAATTAAAGCATGCTAATGTGATAAACTTAATAAGAGTATTTTTATCCCACAATGATAGAAAAGTCTGGCTTCTATTTGATTTTGCTGAGCATGATTTGTGGCATATTATCAAATTTCATAGAGCTGCGAAGGCTAACAAAAAGCCAGTGATGGTACCAAAAGGTATGGTCAAATCTCTGCTATATCAAATTTTGGATGGCATCCATTATCTTCATTCTAACTGGGTTCTTCATAGGGACCTCAAACCAGCAAATATTCTTGTGATGGGTGAAGGACCTGAGAGAGGAAGGGTTTGTATTACTTTATAGATTACTGACATACACTTTGCTGTTCTGTACTTTTTCTTTGGGGAATGAAATTAATATTAAGGAAAATGCTGGTAAAAAACATAGTTTTGCATTATTTAAAAGCCATTATTGGGCTATTAAATCTTGTTTTATTTTGCATGCTTCAACTAACCAGTTACTTCTAGTTAGGTTCACCAACTTTTACTTACATTTTTTCTCAATTTTTACATTAAATTGAATACAATTTTGTCTTTGCTTAGTTAAGTTTTCATTGTTAATGATGTCAAATTGTTGATGTGTTTGGACATTCTGTATATTTAACTTCCAAGCCTACTTTGTTGTGTTTTATTTTCTTAATTGTTTGTCCTTAATTCAGTATTTCCTGCTCCTTACTTTTAGAGTTTGAAATAAAGATTACATTATCTGTCTAGATCACTTTTTAATCATTCAGTGGCCCTGCATCTATAATAGTAGGTCTAAATATTAGTATTCATATTAGTATAAACTCTTTCATTAATTTACTACCCAAATATAAAGATGAATAAAATAAAGGTTACATTTTTCTGATATATTTTTTTAAAATGTCTTTTTTTGAAAACTATTATAATTTATGTATTAAATTTGTATGTTTTAGGGGAAATGAAATCACTATTTTTAATATGAAAAATGTATAAAATATTTTTAATTTTGAGGTTATAATTTCTAATTTATTGTTAAAAGTTTTAAGCCAAGCAACAATATATTGCAGTGTTTGTTTCTGAGAAACAATTGCTATGCCAACTTTACTGTAAAGCTAGCATAGCCATATCTATATCAAAAGGGTTACAGGTTTTTGAGAAAGCATGAAATATACTATAAGCTATGTTAGCTATTATCTAAGTTGTTACATTGTTATGTATTTCGTAATTAAAACCAGTTCATATGTGATTTTTATTTATTTATTAATGAGTTCAACACCAAAAATGCTTTTTATTGCTTCACTCTATTCCACAACATAAAAACTACAACACCCATTGTTTCTCATGGTGTATTAACTCCAAGATTGCGTATTAACAATAAAAAATGCAGTTGTGTATTTATCTTAAAACTAGTTTATTTCCATTTGGTGTAAATTTAAGGGAGTGAGATCAGTAGCACACAATGTGAGGGGTACTTTAAATTAGTTGCTGCAATAAAGTGTTTCTTGTCAAAACATTTTAGTGATGTTTTAGTGATATCAGATGAGTTTTACACTAGGGTGATAATGGGGTAGATTTGGGGATTGGTCAATGTACCAATCAACATCAATTAATTAGCAATAAAATCTTCTGCCAAGATGGGCTCTGTAACCCTCTTCATTGCTGAGATATAGCTTTGACTATGCTAGCTTTACTGTAAAGTTAGCATAGCCATTGTTCATTGGAAATAATTGCAGTAATATATTGTTCCTTGGTGTACAATTTTGGCAATCAATTCCTTGCAGTTCACTTTTTGGCAGATATCTCAGTTTTCTGGGGTTGTGTTTTTGGGGATGATTTGGTTAATATACCAATCAACAGCAAATAATTAGCAATAAAATATGCCACTACCTGTACCCCTTTCCATGAACTTAGCTTGAAATCATTGATGTTGTAAAATGTTATTCTAAATTGGAGAAAATTGTATTAATATAATAACCAGATTATTACACATAGACCACACACTGAAAAATAACCTCAAATGAGTAAGTGTATTATCCTTTCCTCTAAATATACTATACTAATCAAAATACTAAAGAGTACTACTACATAGAACCATGATAAAGTTTTTAGCCAAAACATATCTTATTGAAATACGGTATTCTTATTAAAATACTGTTTTTCAATTTTAGGTTAAAATTGCTGACATGGGATTTGCAAGACTCTTTAATGCTCCTTTAAAGCCCTTAGCTGATTTGGATCCTGTAGTGGTAACTTTTTGGTATAGGGCGCCAGAACTTCTTTTAGGGGCCAGACATTATACAAAAGCTATTGGTGAGTATTCTACTTTTGAAATCAATAAACATTAAATTCTATCTTAGAATATCTAGAATCTTAAAATTTTTCAAAATATTTCTTATAAGATATCTTTACAGTTGTCTTAAAAGAAAATTCTATATTAACGCAGATATGAGTTATTTCTACCGAAAATGTTATGGAAAATTCAGAAAAAAAAACAGTTGAACGAAATGAAATAATTTTCAATATTTTATCCTGATTATCTCGGAAAGTGTCGTATTTATGAGAAAAGTGGATAGAAGTGAAATTGTTCACAAGTAAATTTTCTATCAGAATCTGCTTCTGTAATTAGTAAAAAGAAATCTGCCACACAAAAATGAAAATTTGGGAAAAAAGTTTTAAAGTAAAAATAATAACTTTTTGAAATTTTCTTATGGAAATCACTTACAGTCTAAAGTTTATGAAAAATTGCTATAAAATGTTTTTGAACTTATCACCAAAACAATGGTGTAAAAATCTTTTCTGTTTTAAAACTGTATTGAGTGGATAATTCTTTATTACATAAATCGCTTCATTTTTTACATATATAAGAGTAAAAAAGCTTCCAAATCGCCTTGAAAAACTACAATCAATTAAATATGTGAACCTAGAAATTAGTATTTTCTAACAATATTTAATTTATCCCTATCACACTAAATTATAGATTATTAACAAATTAATAAATTGTGTCCAGAGCATACAATTATGAACTTTAGCAATCTTTACCAATTTAAAAAATTAATTGAAATATAAAAATAAATTAGAATAAAAAAATAAGTACAACTGTTTTAGTCCTTTTAAAAAATTCGCCACGCTCACCTACTTCACCAATTTTAATTTTTCGAAGCGAGTTTGAAAGTTTGTTTTGTTTGTAAATAAAAAAATTGCCGTTTTTAGAAAGAAATATTACACAGTTTTCGAAAATTTCGAATTTACCTGACAGCTGGATTACAAAATTTTTATTTAAAAAGGAAAACAAGTTTTGCCTATTCAAAAAGGAAAACAATTTTTCCATTTTTCTTTATACTATTGTTTTGAAATTAACTACTAAAGTGGCTGTTTCAGATCTTTTATATTTTTTGTTATTTAGCCTCCTTATTTTCTTCCTTAATTTCTGTTTTTAAATTATTTATTTCTGATGTGTTTAATCTCCACATTAATTTCTGATATCATTTTTTTAATTCTTTGGGTCCAACCGATCCCTTGGGATTTTAACAGTTTTTATTCTTAAAGCCGAATCTTCAAAACCTATGGTATGTAATTTCAGTGAAATACCGGGTAACTTGACCGGTTGTATCTCAGTAACCACTGCTCGTAATTCAACTATTTTTCTTTTATAAGAAACGTCTTGCCAATTCTTTTTCAACGCGGTTTCCTGAATTTAATATAAGCTACTAGTTACTGGGATATTCTATTTTTTTATAAACGAAAAAATTGTTTATTGAGGCTGTCCAAATAATTCGATTTCAATTCCATAAAGTAACTTAGATAGGTTAAGCACATTTTTATAGGTAAAAAAATTGGCAAACTTCTATATGGTCAAGTTTTTGTTGTGCAAGATTAAAAAAAGATTATACAATTATTATGCGAAATCTATTAGATTTTAATAAAATTTGGTGGGCTATTTTAATATGTTATAAAGATTTTTCAGGCTAATTATGAAGCTCTTAGTGCAATAAGTGGTTGAAAAATATTGAATAAGAAAAGGTTTATTTTCTCCTCTTTTTTGTATTTATTGCTATTTTGCAGCAAGGTTAATAAATTAAACCATTATTAACCAGTCGTATCTTATAGAAAATTTTATTTGTCGCTATTTTATTTCGTCCCGACTTTGCTCCAAAATGAATTGTTTTAAAGTTATAATCAAGGAAAGTCGAAAAAGATCGAACATCTTAGTAATTTTTAAATATTTTAATTTTTATA